ATATGAAAAATCATGTGATATGACGTCATTTCGACTATTTCGCGACTTTAGCCTTCAATGGTCGAAATGATTTTGACTATTTCGACCATTTCGGATATCCGAAATGATCCATTTCAACTTCATGTATAACCCTGAAAGTAAGACGTAGCATTTATTAATAAAAAATTAATTTTTTTATAATAAAATGCTAATCCAAACATTTGAAGTGGATTTTTATTAAAAAAACAATAAAATAGTTTTTTTTTTACTATTTAAATACTGTTTTAAATATTAGAGAAGATTTTTATTAAAAAAATAACAGAATGTTATTTTTTAACATTAAAATGCTATTCCAAACTTTAAAGTCAGATTTTTATTAAAAAAATAATAAAATTGATGTTTGTTAATATTAAAATGTCATTTTATATATCAAAGGCAGATTTTGTTAAAAAAATAACAAAATTATTATTTTTTAATATTAAAATGTCATTCTGAATGTTAGAGGTAGATTTTTATTAAAAATAAATAACAAAATTATTGTTTTTTAACATTAAAACACTGTTCTAAATGTCAAAGGCAGATCTTTGTTAGAAAATAATAAAATTATTATTTTTTAATATTAAAATACCATTTTAAATATTAAAGGCAAGTTTTTATTAAAAAAAATTTTTTATCCATCAGATACAGATATGGTTTCAGATTTGTCAGATTCAGATTAAATCAGATTCAGTTTTTCAAATTCAAATCAAATCAGATTTTGCTTAAATCTGATCTGATTCAATCTATGTAAAATACTAAATTTAATTATAAGAAAGTACAATTATAAATAATAAAGCTTCTGATTGTTATAAATTTATTAAATTTAATTATTTACTTTATTTAATAAAAAAAAGATCACTTCTATTAAAAAAAGTAAAATCCAAAAAAAATACTAAAAGAGTCACAATTTGTAGACTTACCTTAACCAATAGCAAAAAAGTCTACTTCTATTAAAAAAAGAAAAAATTAGTAAAATCTAAAAAAAACAAGCATTCTGATTTATAGCATACCTTATTTAATAGTAAGAAAGTTTACTTTTATTAAAAAAAAGAAAAAAAACTAGTAAAAATCTAAAAAACAATTATCCTGATTTGTAAATTTACTTTAACCAATAGTAAAAAAATCCATTCCTATTAAATTAAAAAGCAAAAATCTAAAAAACCACCACTAAAAGAGTCCTGATTTATAGCCTTATCTTAACTAATAATAAGAAAATTCTATTATTATTAAAAAAAAAAGACTTAAAAGGAGAAAGAATAAAAATTCTGATTTTCTAAAAAAGTTTAAATATATATAATTTACTATAATACACAATTTTCAAAGTAAATGAATTATATATAAAAAATATATAAAAGATAAAATTTATATTTAAAAATAGCATTCAAAATGATAAAATTCATCATTGATTGATAAAAATCATTTTTAATTGATAAATATTATCTTAAAATTGATAAAATTTGTCTTTATATAGATAAATATTATTAATTTATTAATTTATTAATAAAAATTCGTTAATGATTTGATGAAAATATGTCAATCAGTAACAAATTGACCAAAATTACTAATGAATTTTTATTAACAAATTGACAAAAATATACTAATTATTAATGAATTGACTGAAATATAGAAGGTGGTTAGTAAAAAAGGGGGAAATCCAAATTTTGGTCAAAATTTATATTATTAGATTACTTGGCTGATCTTGGTCATGTGCACAAATTTGGTTAATAATAAAAATTAACAAAAATTTTGGATTTTCCCTTTTCTACTGACTGCTTCCCATATGTTATTCAGATCATATGGGAGCTTTGCAATAGAAAGGAAGAAAACTCTAAAAAAATTAAAATTTTACTTTATAAGCTAATTATGATTTTTTTAGTAAAATAAGTTCAGATTTAATATTAACTCAAAAAAAATTTTTTTAGAGTTTCCTCCTTCTCTATTGCAAAGTTTTCATATGTATTATTCAGATCACATGTGATATTATAATCTAAAATAAATGAAATACCACAGATATTTTTTGATATTTTATCATTTGGTTTTAAATAAATAGTTGAATAAATCCTAAACTAATAAAATAGTATATTAAAACCTTAAAAATATCAAAGTATTTGATAGATTTAAAACTCATGTTAATAGTTTCTGTAATTAGAAGAAATTAATAAAACAGAAAATTTAAATACAGATTTAATTTAGTTATTATATTAGATAATTAACAAGTTTATTTTAATTACTTAATATTGATATAATTAAGTTATTTAAAATAATTTTCATAAAGAATAGCATCTTTAGATTACTGATAATAATAGACAAACATTATAGGTAAACTTTGATAAAATTAAACTTGATGACATGTATAAAATGGATAAAATGTTCTTAAAAGAACATATTTACTAAAATCATCAAAGGTTCTTTTAAAACTTGTAAAATTTTAATATATTAGATAATATAAGGAATTCTGATAAAAAAAATTTGAAAAAAATTTAGAAATTAGTAATGATAATTTAGAGACAATTTAAATATTTTGTATTAATACTAATAAGATTGGAATAATGATAAAAATTAATAATTTTAAATATTTTTTTATTAAATATAAAATTAAGTTTATGAGCTTTAATTTAGTAAAAATTATATAAAAAATCATCAGTAGATAGATAATGATAAAGAATAAGGTTATATCTAAATAAGAAATATGAAGACGGAATTTTCCAAAATGGAAAATTGTGGGATGACTTCCTCCCAACTATAAAATTGTCTTTTTTGACCCATTAAACTATAATAAATTTGTGCGTGCGTACATTCCATACATTCGGATTTTGAACAACGAATGATACAATGTTGTTGTAATTTACTTTTTCCTAAAGATGAAAGTCTTGTCTTTGTTGTCGATCCGTATGACAATCAAAAAGTTCAAAGAACAAAAATTTTCTTGTTTATTAATTAGGAAATATTTGACTTACATTTATTACACCAAAATTTACTTTGGATTTATAAATAAAGACGGAATTTTTATTTTTTTTCCTTTCTAAAAAAAAAAAATTTTATACTTTTTATTTAAAAAAAATAAAAAAATAAGGATGGAAAACCATGAATATCAAGCTCCAGGACCAAATGATTTAAGATCACCTTGTCCTGCGCTAAATTCGCTCGCCAATCACGGATATCTGTATGCTTTAATTTTTTAATTATCTATTTATTCCAATTATTATTAAAATAAATAAAAATCTTCCGTTATAGACCTCGTGATGGAAAAGATATTACAACCAGTCGATTGATTGAAACAACTTATAAACAATTTAATCTCGGTAAAACCGTAGGGTTCATTTTAGCTTACGGAGCTATAATTGATATAGGAAAAACCAAAATGTAAGTAAATCAAAGAAATTTTCATTTGAATAAATGCTCTTTTGAAAACAAAAACTTATGATGATAATTCTTTTGTTTAATAAAGTACCCTTGACGAATTACATACTAGCAAATTAAATCATTCGATGTCATTAACACGTACTGACGTCGAGTTAAATCAAGATTTTAGAAAAGTTTCACCGGAATTAATTGATTCTTTAATTTCAGAGAAAGACGAGACTAATAAATTAACAAGGAATAGCTTTGCTAGGCAATTTATAAAAAGACGCGATCAATCTCTTAAAGACAATTCCGCATTTCATGGACTAGGTTTTACGAAAAAATTTCAAGTATTTGGTGAATATTCTTTAACATTAAATTGTTTGTCTGGAAGTGAAAATGAAACCGGAATATCAATTGATGTAAATACTTTGAGGAGTTTTTATCAACTTGAAAGATTCCCTGAAAATTGGAAAAAATCCGAAAAGACAATTAGTTTTCGTCAATTCCTTAAAACTAATAGAGAAACTAAGAAAATCCAAGAAAATTTAGACAAAGAAAAGACAAATTAAATATCAATTAGTAGTTAATTAGTAACGTGAGTAAAGGTTTAGAAATTTGATAGATGAGAATTTTTTTTATACGTTATAACATAATACCATGAATTTCTTTAAATAATTATAAATAAACAAAGTTTTCTTAATTTTTTTTTATCTTATCCGTAATTCGATCTGTGATATTAGTAAAGTCGTAAGAACTTCCGTTCGAAACTCAGAGAGACAAAAAATATCGTTCTTGAACGAACAAACTTGGACCACTATATTTAGTGATGGTACAAGAAAATAACCCAAGAACGATACATTTGCCTCGGAGATAATGTTATGTATGCCGTCCGCGTAATGAGCCTTACTCATTAATTCTGAAGCAAACAAGATTCATTAATCGATTATTTCGATGATTTATATTAATTCATATAAATTTATCTTTATTTTTAGAAAAATCTAAACAAAATACATTAAACACAAAAACTATTTACAAAACTTTTTTGTGTCATTTTTTATACAAGGGAATGTAAAAAAGTTGGGGAAAAATAAAATAGCAGAAAATACTTAAATTTACCATTGTAATAAGTATATTTTCCGTAAATCAAGAACCATTTTTTATTATCTTTTAATTTCAATAATAGAAGAAGTAAACGTTTCCCAATGATCTTTCTTTGTGGGATTTCCAAAAGGCCTTAAAACAGCTAAAAATAATCTATATCTGCCATCCGGTAGTTCGACACCTTTTTCTCCATTTAATTTATCTATTTTGCCATCAAATTGTAAAGTTAAAACTTTATTACTGTCAGAATTATCATTTCTTTGTTGAAATTCTACGATTCCACTATTTGTTATTGTGCCTAAAGAATTTGGTACCAATAATTTCGTTGTAGCTTCATCAAATGCTCTTGGTTTTAGTTCATTATTTCCTAAATTATATGCTTTAATTGATCTTTTTGCAAGAGGCGTTTCAGTTGGTATATCAGTTGGAGTCGTTGTAATAGTTGTAGTTAATGTAACGATTCCTCCATCATCTTCATCGGGTGAAGTAGTTGGCTGTTCTGTCGGTTGGGTTTCAGTTGGCTTTTCTGTCGGTTGGGTTTCAGTTGGCTTTTCTGTCGGTTGGGTTTCAGTTGGCTTTTCTGTCGGTTGGGTTTCAGTTG